AGAAAGTTGACTCTGTGAATTTGATTTTAAGTAGCTCTTAAACTCACTTCTTTATTACATTTTTAAAAGAACATTGCATTATTGTATCGGCTACTTCTTGCACTGAAATGACTTCTGGAACACTTGAAGGGCAACGGTCTGCAACTCAGCAGCCTTCTTCGATCCTTTAGATCCTTTTGCTGGGGGCTTGTATTTACGAATGATTGGGTCGTCCAAAGCAACTCTCAGACATTTCATCAGAAAGCAATATTGCTCCTGCAACAAACCAGGGTCGTTTTGTATTTTTCTTACAGTACTCTTCTGTACATTTATAAATCAACGGGATTTTGTAGTGAACATAAAACTTGTCGTTCTAATCACGATGCGTCTGCGCTGCCCTCACCTGACACTGGACCATGCAAGGCCGCTGTTCTCGCAGCTTTAGCACAACACCAAAGACATCGATCTTCTTCTTGGCCTTGAGGCACTGCAGCAGTATATCCAAGGCTATGAGGGTCCCTGTTCTGCCGACACCAGCACTGGAAGACAAACAAAGTTTATTAAGATTAAGATCAGCCCTACGGTCAGCGGAGTTAAGGGGGCAATACACTGAAAATGGCCAAAAACTGACTTGTGCGATTGATTCCATACGCGTTGTTGAGCGTTGTTCAAACTCTTCATGTGTCAAGGCCTTACACAAAGAAGCATTTTAAGCCCAGAATGGCGTCGATCGGACGACAGGGAGTGGAGCAGCGCCCAATCAAATTTTCGGCAAAAGTCGAACTGGCGGGCGTCCCTCAGTCCGCAAAAATGAAGATATCTCGACCCCGTTTGCGCCAAAATGTAGGTAATTAAAGCGGCTATCGCATGAACTAGGATTTTGAACATCAAATAATCAAAAGTACAAAATTTTACAAAAAAACCTGTTTTGATAATTTTTTGCAAAATCCTCAAAAAGTGTTTTTGGATGAAATTTTGTACTTTAGGTTGTTCGATGTCCATAATCCTAGTACATGCGATAGCAGCTTCAATTACCTACATTTTGGCGCAAACGGGGTTGAGATATCTTCATTTTTGCGGACTGAGGGACGCCCGCCAGTTCGACTTTTGACGAAAATTTGATTGGGTGTAGAGACCACTAAATTATGCGCGTGCATAATCGCATATTTTGTTAAAGTATGAGAAAAAGACAAAAGAAAGACAGTTTAACATGTTTTAAGTAGGTCTACACCGGAAACAAGACCGCATAATGACGCATAATCTAAGCACAAACGCAACATAACGCATACTTGCATACTATGCGTAGAGACCACTAAATTATGCGCGTGCATAATCGCATATTTTGTTAAAGTATGAGAAAAAGACAAAAGAAAGACAGTTTAAGATGTTTTAAGTAGGTCTACACCGGAAACAAGACCGCATAATGACGCATAATCTAAGCACAAACGCAACATAACGCATACTTGCATACTATGCGCATAAAGTCACGTATTCCCGCATAAACTACCTATTAGGCCTCCAAAATCCCGTAAAATACGCCGATTTACAGCTTTTGACGCGCCCCCGATTTAAAAATACGCGCCCTTTGATCCCTGCGCCTTCTCTATACTCGTCACGTCGCGCAGTCCACCGCCCCGCCTCGCCCCCTCCACCCGTCTCGCCCGTTCCAGCATGTTCGACGAGGTTATTCTTGGTTCCTCGGCTCCTTGAAATTGCCTACATTCAGGGAACAACATACAGCGCTGCGGCACGGACATAATGCGAACTACTGATATGGCGGGAGATTTTGAACTTGGAACATTTCAAACAAGGTTTGGGAAGTGAATTTTGATCCGTGTGACCTAAATTTCAATGAAGATGCTTCCCATGATTAAATATTGTGGCCTAAAGTTGATCCCAGGCACATGATTGACTACTTTTTGGTGTTCCCAAGAGCTCGGGTTGGGGTGGTCCGACTAAAGCTTTCTCGACATCTTTTATTTTAGACCTAATGTTTTTTCTTGAATTATTGATTGACTATTTTTGTGTTTTGTGATCACTGATCATGTTAACCTTATGTTTCATTAGAACTTCAATGTTACTTCTTCTTGAACAATTGAGTGAAAACTTATTTATGCAGCTCCTTTTTTCTTTGACTTTTTGTACGCAAATGAAGTGAAAAATTAATGTTCCTCACCTTTGTTTAAAATTTGTAGTAATTAAATCTTAACATATACTAACCAGTCGTTCACTTGCTCGCTCTTATCACAGTTCATAAAGAAATCGACACTACAGCCATAATTCTCTCTTAAGGGGGCACACCAGTGAAAATGTAGAGGTTTTGAAAAACGATCACTCTGAGAAAAGTAACCTATGTATTCGATTGATATTTTATTCGTGGCTCAAAATTATATCAAAGAAAAGAAAAATCAGTATGGGAGGTCGGGGTGGCGATGGCAAGACGGAGCGCCAGTGCACTTCATTTTTCTGCGACCTCGTCTCACTCCTGCCACGATTCCGCCTCTCTGGATTGAGCCTCGAGCACGGGATTTGAAAATTTCTCAACAGGACACATGTGGCTATGGTCTGAACCACGGGCATGCAAAAAGAATGATTTTGAATTTGTTTTTTCAAAAGGCAAAAATAAAAAGAAATTTTTTGACCAATTTTTTCGCGCTTTCATGGCTGCAGCTCACGTCCTATTTATGGGATGGCCATTTCCGAGGTTCAGACCATAGACGCAAGTTTAACGAACATTTTGCCGCAAACCGCATTAATTTATCTCAATTTTTGCGCCCGTGAGAGTGGCACAAAGGTACAAAAAGGGTGTTTTGAGAAAAAGCCCTTTTAGTGAAAACATAGATTTGACGGTTTTTTTCGGATTATAAATGCGCTATTTGACGTATTTAAGTTCGTTTTGCGCCAAAAAGACCCTCTTTCTAACTGCGTTTGGGTGGTTCAAGGGTTTTGTAATTATACTTCAAGTGAAAAAGCTGAACGTTCACAATTGGTCCAAAAATATCCAGGAATAATAACCTTTTTAACAACTTCAAAAATGTGCACAAGCCAAAGTAATTGGAATTTTGGGGTGGGGTTTGCGGCATTCGACTCGGGATGAATAGCAGAAAAATAAGATAAAATAAAAAAGAAGGCAAAAATTTGACGATTTTCACTGGTGTGCCCCCTTAACTGTGATAATAAGGGCATGCAAGTGAACGATTTGTTAGTATGTATTAAGATTTAATTAATACAAATTTTAAACATTAATTTTTCACTTCATTTGCGTACAAAAAGTCAAAGAAAAAAGGAGCTGCATAAATAAGTTTTCACTCAATTGTTCAAGAAGAAGTTACATTGAAGTTCTAATGAAACATTAGGTTAACATGATCAGTGATCACAAAACACAAAAATAGTCAATCAATAATTCAAGAAAAAACATTAGGTCTAAAATAAAAGATGTCGAGAAAGCTTTAGTCGGACCACCCCAACCCGAGCTCTTGGGGACACCAAAAAGTAGTCAATCATGTGCCTGGGATCAACTTTAGGCCACAATATTTAATCATGGGAAGCATCTTCATTGAAATTTAGGTCATACGGATCAAAATTTACTTCCCAAACCTTGTTTGATATGTTCCAAGTTCAAAATCTCCCGCCATATCAGTAGTTCGCATTATGTCCGTGAGGTAGCGCCACGGGTCGCCGATGTTAGCAGCAGGCCAGAGGAAGCTAGAATGGACTTCGAGTAGTGAGTGAGTTTGCCGACAGACGCAAGTGTTCATATTGTGGTGGTGTTTTGGGGGCACGTGATAATAACATTAGATACTTTTTTATGAGCTAATTCTACTATTTGTCATTCCGCTCCTATTTTCCTCCTTCGCATATTTTTGCATAAAACCACAATTTTACCCGCATAAACCCCGCATAAAACTACATTTTTAGGCGCATAAAGTCCGCATAAATGGGTTAAAATGTGGCGCATAAAATGATGATTCTATATGCATAATTTAGTGGTCTCTAATTGGGTGCTGCTCCGCTCCCTGACGTCCGATCGACGCCATTCTGGGCTTAAAATGCTTTCTTTTTGTAAGGTTTTGACACATGAAAAGTTTGAACAACGCTTAACAACGCGTATGGAAGCAATCGCACAAGTCAGTTTTTGGCCATTTTCAGTGTATTGCCCCCTTAAATTGGGACTAAACGTTCTCTCTCAGGCCAAAGGCAAGGTTCTGCACCAAACAAATAACTTCTTGGATCAAGAAAAATTTTCTTGATTTTAGCAAGAAAATTTTGTTTAATCCTACTTTTTTGCCTTGAAAGAAAAATTTTTTTCTTGTGTCAAGATAATTTTTCTTACAAAAACCAAGAAAATCATAAATCAAGAAGGGCGATTCCATGCCAAACCAACGAACGCTTGGAATTTAATCTCTCCGATTTTGATGAAACTTTCTTTGGGGGTAGGGGTCATCATAAAAAGACCCCCTGCCAAAGGGTTTTGCGATATCTCACCCCGTTTGGCTGTGGCAGGATATCAAAGTTTTGGCTTTAGTCAAAATCATGACATTTTCTTAAATTTCCTCTTTTCGGGCTGATTTTTTTTGGATTTTTTTCCATAGTGTTTTTTACGTAAAAAGAGCTGGGGAACACGATGAAAACGGTTTCGAGACGATTGGGTGAAGTTTTGATGCCAAAATTTTCATTTTTCGTCATATTTTTTCGAAAAATTGCCATTCCCAAAATAGCTCATCTTCGATTTCGACCTAACTTTTACCAAATGATCTCCTAGCATAGTGGAACAAATCCCTAAAAGGGTTTGGTCGGCCCGCCCATAGGATCTGAGAAATCGCAAAAACAAATTTTGAAAAATCACCAAAATTGTGTATTTGAGGTGGTGGTGGTAGAAAAACAACTCACTTTTTCAATTTTTTAGAGTTAGTCACTAGATTACTCAGATCTTGTCTGTGCTAGATAGCATACAAAATGGTTTATTTGGTGGAACAAAAATATTATAATTGAAATTTATTATTTTACCACTGTGGATTTTCCAACTGTTAAAATCTTGTTTTCAGGTTCCATCTATTACTATCTAACGGACAATATTGAAGAGCCTGTGCAGCTTGAAAATGTTCTAGCTAAAGTTGATATTATCAAAGTACCAAATAAACCATATTGTATGCTATCTAGCACAGACAAGATCAGAGTAAGATGGCAACTTCTAGTAATCAACTCTAAAAAATTAAAAAATCGAGTTTTTTTTTCATTTGCATACAAAATTAAAATTTAGTAAATAATGGGTATTTACCGTTGTCTAATTTAACTCTCCCCCCTTTTCTTCCGCCTCTACAACATGAATTGTTCACCATTTTAACAGAAGAAACATAGACTTGTACACACGATTGATTGTGGTCTAGCCTTTCAAGTGAAAATCAGTTAACTCATGTGTGGTCTAGCCCTTAGTGGTAATGGTAATGGAAGGTAGGCAACCCAACGCACGTATATGCGCACTCTGGCCTGCGGGTTGCCTATCCGAGCTTCACAGGCGCTCCTGGCGGGTGGTTTTCCTTCGCACGCCGAGCGGGGAAGTCGATGTTGACCAGAACAGACGGCTGCGCAGCGCAGGCAAGAACCCACAACACCACCACCACCACCACCACCTCAAATACACGATTTTGGTGATTTTTCAAAATTTGTTTTTGCGATTTCTCAGATCCTGTGGGCGGGCCGACCAAACCCTTTTAGGGATTTGTTCCACTATGCTAGGAGATCATTTAGTAAAAGTTAGGTCAAAATCGAAGATGAGCTATTGTGGGAATGGCAATTTTTCGAAAAAATATGACGAAAAATGAAAATTTTGGCATCAAAACTTCACCCAATCGTCTCGAAACCGTTTTCATCGTGTTCCCCAGCTCTTTTTACGTAAAAAACCACTATGGAGAAAAATACAAAAAAAAATCAGCCCGAAAAGAGGAAATTTAAGAAAATATCATGATTTTGACTAAAGCCAAAACTTTGATATCCCGCCACAGCCAAACGGGGTGAGATATCGCAAAACCCTTTGGCAGGGGGTCTTTTTATGATGACCCCTACCCCCAAAGAAAGTTTCATCAAAATCGGAGAGATGAAATTCCAAGCGTTCGTTGGTTTGGCATGGAATCGCCCAGAAACCATTTTTCTGGGTGTGGACCGAGGCATCTAACCACAGTCTTCGCCGGGGAAGAGGCGACCGGCAAAGAGTCGACTTCGATCATGTGACGGCCCCCGCTTACGCAGGGGGGTTTATGGTCCGGCGAGCTCGAGCCTCGGAGGTGCAAAAAGAAAAATGGTCATGGACCCCCCTCTCCCTTTTAATGTACCTGCAGTGCACCACAATCATGCCGGGGAACAGCACGGCCTGGCGGCGCAGCGTGATGCAGAACTGCAGCACGTGCTTGGGGGACGCGGGGCAGCCGAAGTCGGGCCACTCGCGGAAGTGCAAGTGGTTGACCAGCCGCTCCTCCGAGCCCTGCAACAGGGGCCGACCCAGCCGTAGTGCTCGATGGCTCAGCTACTCCACCAGAAATCACACCCCAAAAAGCTGTTTCTCGGCCAAAGAAAATTGACTTCCAATAATTTTATTCCCTTTGGACCATTCCGGTGAAATGAGGACCCAATCCGACCTAATTTTGTTTGGCGAGTTTTCCAGGATTGGCCAAAACTTGGCGCGACTTTTCACCTCGCTGTGTTTAGTCGCATGGTCTCTCCATTGAAGGTTCAGTGGCTAGCGTCGCGAGCACCGCACTATAAAATCCTTGAAAAATCCTCGCAGAACTGTGGAATACTTTTCTGCGCAAGCTATTGAGAGTAAGACCCGAAGGACAAAACCGCCACCTCAATACAAGCCTCCTAACTGTCCATTTAGTACACACACTTACAAACGCATGCTTGGAGCCGTGTAACTCCATGCTAAGCATGGGCGTTTGTGAGTGTGTACGCCAAGCATGCATTTGTAAGTGTGTACTTGCAAGCATGCATTTGTAAGTTAGGTTTGTAGTGTGGCCTCCATTGAATGTTCAGAGGCTAGCGTAGCGAGAACCACACTATAAAATCCTTGCAAAATCCTCACAGTACTGTGGAATACTTTTCTTCACAAGCTATTGAGAGTGCGACCCGAAGGACAAAACTGCCACTTTTCCGAGCATTTTCTGCGGCGGCAAGTCCTCGACCCCACCTTGGTCATCACGATGGTCCTGAGGGTGTAAAACAGCAGGTCGTTCTGCACGCAGCACGCCACAGACAAGTCGCCCCACGTGAAGCGGTCTCCCAGCTCTGGGTAGTACTGGTGGCACTTAACCTGCGCAGGACACAACAGATTGTACAGTGTGAGGTCTGGTCCGAAGGGCAAACAACTTGAATTTTGGTGTACATTTCCCTTGAAATAAAGTGAAATAACGGTGAAGTATCGCTGAAATAACGTGAAATAACGCGAAACAACTTTGAAATACCCTTCAAATAACGTTGCAATAACAATGAAATAACATGAATTTGAAATAATGGTGTACAAATTTTGACGAAGTTGTTTGCCCCTCGGTCTGGTCCGACAGTTGCATGTGTGAGGCAGGGCGGCTCACACTTGTAAAAGCGTGAGAGACATAATACACTGCAAGAAAAAACCACAACAAAAGTACACAAATTCCTGGCAAATTTTTTATTAGGAATTTATTGTACTGTCAAAGTACAACAATTGTTGTACAAAGTACAATGGAACCAGCATGACAAATGCTGGGAAGTCCAGGCCTTGTCGTTGTTTGTACAATTCTCATTGTACTTTCTACAATCTCTGTTGTACTTTTGTTGTACTATTCACACTTTTTCTTGCAGTGTGGTTCACGCCAAAATGGCTAGGACTGTCCCAGACTTGGATTTGCAGTGAACTCGCCTTGCCGTTCTCAACCAAGTTGGTGAGCATGACGACGGTGCGCACGTTCTGCTCGTAGGCCATGACCCAGAAGTCCTTGACCGTGTTGTCCTTGGGGCCCTGCGCCGCGATGTACTCCGGCCAGCCCGAGAAGCCCTGCAGACAACGATGTGAATTCAAACCTTTAATGCACTGTAAACCTAACTATTTGCTTACTTTACACTTTACTACTCCGTAAAATACCTGGAAGAACACACTTTAAATGCATACACTGTTATGACGAATACAAGGTAGGTTTACGCCAGACCGCGTCTTGTCGTAACAGGCTTCGCGATGTCTCGCGGCCTGTTCCTCCAATCCGCGCCTGGCGTACCTACCTTGGCCTGCGGCGCTAGCCTGCCTTCGGCAGGCGATGGCTTGTCCATCGTCGGTTACTTCTTACTTAATGCATGCTGGACCCCCCTTCATTCAATATAAAGTTGCTTCATCTACAGATGACACGATCTTGACCCTTGGACCTTTTCAACTTGCCGGGGCTGGGGGGCCCCGCCCCCCAGACCCCCCTTTCTTCAACACAGAAGTGATCTGCCTGCAGGAAAACCGATTTTTTGCCGCTTTTTAGGTGTTTTTCGGCTATAAAAACTGAACCATGTGTGGTAGGACAGTGAAATTTCGCGTGTGCCGAGCCAAGAATATACGTAATAAGCCTGTAAAATCTCAGCCAGATCGGCCGAGCCGTTCAGGAGGAGTAGTGTACACACACACACAGACAGACACACACACACACACAGACAGACAGACAAAACTTTTCAACCGCACTGGAGTAACAGGCTTCGCTATCGCTCAGCCAATGAAGTTACATCCGTTGAATAACAGTGTACTTCGCCAAGTGCACACGTGCAAGTGCATGCCTGAAGCACGGCATATCGAGGGGTCCTATTCAAAAGATCTTATTTGGGCGTTCCCCCCAAGACAATCTTATCTTAAACGCCGGCAAATTTCACTCATTTTGAACAATCAGAATAAATACGACGGTAAGCGAAACACATTTCTACATGCACTTTTGGTTTCTTTCATCTTCCATCTTCAGACTTACTTGAACAAACTCACAAATTATATTGATATGTAGCTGTATCAAATGATCAAACTTTGTGAAATTCACCTGCGTTTAAGATAAGATTGTCTTGGGGGGAACGCCCAGATAAGATCTTTTGAATAGGACTCCTCGATATGCGTAGCATGAAATGACGGGGCCAAGCATGTAGTTGTAAGCGCATGCTTGCCAACGCGTTTGTAAGAGTGTACAGCGGGTGTACTGAGTGAGTGCTTCGCACAGTCAGGCTTGTGGTGTACGCACTGTAAAAAATTCCGTACTTTTGTACGGAAATGGTACAGAAAAATATAGTACGGAGGTACGGAGAAAAGTACGGAACGTTCCGTACTTGCTCCATATGAACCCATGTAAATGGGTACGGAAAAAAAGTACGGAACGTTCCGTAGTTGGCAAGTACGGACGGTCCAGGCAAATTATTGACCAGACATGTTCCGTACTTTTTCCGTACTTTTTTCTCACAGTGCGGACGTGACCGAGGGGTCGCCCCAGATAAAATTTCTCCAGGCAACTTTGAACAAAGGTGAGCAGGGGTCGAGCACAGCCCGAGCCCTGCCCGGCACTCGGTGGGCAACTACCGGGCAACACCCGGGCAACACCCGGGCAACTCCGGGCAACATCCGGGCAACACCCGGGCAACTCTGAGCAACTATCGGGCAACTTTGGGCAACTGTCCGGCTTGTTGAGGCATCACCCGGGCAAAGCCCCCCGCGGGCAAAAGTGCGCACCAAGTGACTCCAGCGCAGCGCGGCGCCCGAACTGCGGCTGCTTGGCCAGAGCGCCCAGCCCGGCCCGCCACCATGGAGACACATACCAGATAGTGTGTCTCCATGCCGCCACCCTGAGCATGGGCCAGGTGGCGGCCCGGACCGTCAGAGGAGCGGGCCGTCGCACAACCCGCTCCGATCGGCACCACGCTCGGCTTCGGCTGCGTAGCCGAGCTCGCAACGCGCTGGCTCGCTGCGAGCGGCGGTCGGTTCGATGCCAGGCAAGGCAGCGCGCCGCTCGGCAGCCATCCTTGTCTAACCCACTAGCCGCCTTGAGTGCGAGAGAGATGCAAGATGTGCTCGCTCGTCGAGCGTCGAGCGGAACCAATCTCACAGTGCAGCCAGCTGGTTGCCTACTCCTGTCCAGCAAGGCTCGCGGCGAGCCACCCTTACGCGCGGCGGCGGGAGAGGGACGGGAGAGGGAAGGGGTGAGGTGAGCGTCTGCCCACCTCTGCCTCCCTACCCCTCCCCTCTCACCCTCCCAGCGCTGTGCGTTGGTTGAAATGTAAACAAACACCATGTTTGAAACGAAAAGGTTTGTGATGCTGCGGCCGTGTGATATTGACGTTGAACTTCTCACGTATCTTTATCACAATTTCGTGGCTCGCTTTATCCTTGCCCAGCGGTTCTCAACCTTGGGGTCGCGAAAAAATTTCGAGGGGTCGTGGCGAGGTAACTGGGGTCGCTTGGGGTGGCGGCGGTTTCCCAAAGTTGGCACCCAAAGTTGCCTGGAGAAATTTTATCTAGGGTCGGCAACTTTCCTTGGCCGTGTACGAGGGAGTATACGTATATTACCAGTAATATAGGTAATATATGTGTAATATAAAGTAATACAAAGTAATATATAGCAATATAGGGGTATTATAGAGGCGAAATTGTGGTAATATGCAAGTAATATATGGTAATATACAGGTAATATACGGGTAATATAGCCACCGCGTACGAAGTAATATATGAGTTGCCGACCCCTCGGACGTGACATCAAAAGAAGTCTGGCCCCTTTCCCTTACCACGATGTGAGACGCGTTGATGTAGTTGGAAACATTGTCGTTAGGCGCGTAGCTGAGAAGGAGAACTCTGTTCTTGTCGACTGCAAGCAAAGCGTGTAAAAAAAAGGTGAGCACTTTGAGATGTGGTTAGTGCCGTTATCAAGGGGAAACAGCTTAAAATTTATAGACCAAAACTCACAGACAATCTTGAATTTCAATCATTTCAAAATTTGTCCGCAATTCGTTAAAATTTATCCGAAATTCCGAAGGAATTAAAAAATGGGCCTACTGAGGAGATGCAAACGTATCTCCTCCTGTTGCTCACAGCCGCACGCCACTTACATGGGATGATGTTGGCGTAGCGGTTCTTGCAAGCGTTGGTCGGCAGGTTCCCCACCCTGCTCGGCGTGCTCGCGGCCACCTGGCTGCTGAGGGCGCACAGGGCCTCGAACTGCCTCAGCAGCTGCAACCGTCAGATCAGTATGCAATTGCATACACACTAAATGTTTATGTACAATTTTGTACGTGGTGATGCATAATTTTAAACTTGTGTGCCGTCGTGCATAAAATTGTGCGTGAATTTGCACAAATTTATGCATTTTCACGTACAATATTATGCAAATTTCCCGCATGCACAAAATCGTGTAAGTGGCACGTACAAAATTCTACATAAACATTTAGTGTGGAGGGCCAGCCGTGTCCTCGCTTACGCCACAGGAGGGGGGAGGGAGATTTTGTCTGCTGTGAGGGTTTTCTTACCTATCAGGAGATTTCGCAGTTGCTTTTCAACACACGATTAAATCTTTTAAAAGGGCTGTTAACGAAGCGCGCATAGTTAAACTGTAGTTTTGACTGCAGTTCACTGCAGTTCAACTGCAGAAGTTTTAAGTTATTTTTTCACTTGGAACAATACATTTGACAACAAAAAAACTCAAGTTCTGTCATAAAGTTAGAACTTCAGATCCTTCCACCTGGGAAGCTAAACAAATTTGCAGTCCCTGCGAGTTATAACTACGTACATTTGACCCTTTTAAAAGAGATAATCATGCATTTTTATGTCAAGATTGTAGGCATCTGGCTATCTCTTGTCTCAAGCCCAAGTCTCGAAAGCGTGCATACTATTTCGTGCTATTTTTAGCTAAATCCCAGTTATTTTTAGGCTGAAAAGATCACTGAAATTCGAACAGTGGGGCATCAGCGATACAACAAGCTAGGGCCCGCCCTTCCGTCGAACCGAGTTGCCAGCTCCGCTTCGCTGCGCCGGCAACTCGGTTCGACAGGGGGCCGGCCCAGCTTGGCCTGCCGGCGGCCTTTTCTCGGGCCTTCGGCCCTCGCATCAGACCCAACTTGGCCAGTCGAAGGCCCGGGCCTTCGGCCCGCTCGCATCACACACCCCGTGAGCGGGTAAAGCAAAGTTATCGATGTACCATCGTGACTTAGGCCCGCCCTTCTATTCACAATATGCAATAGTCCTTACACTTTTTACTCCAACTGTCCTTAGAATATGCCCATTTCATTTGTCTCTTCGCCCTCATTCCGAAAATACCCATATTTGCCATGCTACTGCAACTCCTTGCAATAGAGGCACAGCAGGAGCGCAAAACGAGTCCGTCGCACTTTTTCCCATAACTCATGAAGGCGGGCTCCTGGACCCCCTTCCGACCCCTCGTTGAAGAGGTCTTGCCAAGACCTATCGAAAACTTCAGTAAAAATTTTCAGTCGGTCGACCCCCATTTTTGAAGATCCTGATGTGACTAATAGACGAAGTCGGGCTCCTGGACCCCCTGTCCGACCCCTCGTTGAAAAGGTCTTGCTGAGACCAATCGAAATCTGCAATAAATTTTTTTAGTCGGTCGACCCCCTTTTTTGAAGATCCTGATGCGACTAATAGACGAAGTCGGGCTCCTGGACCCCCTTTCCGACCCCTCGTTGAAAAGGTCTTGCTGAGACCAATCGAAATCTGCAATATTTTTTTTTAGTCGGTCGACTCCCTTTTTTGAAGATCCTGATCTGGCCAACTTGTAAAAGCGGCCGATGGGGTCGGGACCAGGTCCATTCATCTTGTCTCGTCGCCCCGATTCCAAAAATACCCCTATGTGCCCTGCTAGCACCAATAATGGCGGAAATCCCCCTCCCGCTCATGTAAACCATGATGCACCTGCAGCAGCCCTTGTGCGACCCGGACGGGATTTGCACCACCGGATTATTTGTTTGGACGGTACTCCTGAAGTACCCTCCAAATCGGGGTTACTCTAGCTCAACTCCTTCCTTGTACACAGACGCCAACAACAACAACAACAACAACACACAGACACAAAGGCAAATGCATAGGCCCTCCCCCTATTTTTTGAATAGAAGGGCGGGCCAAAAAGTATCGGTCGTAGATTTCAGTTTGACCCTTTTAGGAGTCAAAACTATTCTGACCTTTCTATTTTCAGTGGGCGTAATAGTTCTGAGAGTGCATACTCCCTCGGTGGGGACCCCCTCGATGACTGCGTGCCACGTTTGGTGCGTTCGTTGTGGTAATTGCATGGAAAGACCACACCAAACGTGGTCTAGGCCACACCAAGTGATGCGGTCAAAATGGCACCCATTTGTCCCCAGCGGGGATCCCCCCCACTGTCAGATTCCAAAAACGCCTGATAGTAGGCAACCAATGCCCCTGTAAGTAGGCAAAATACACACTATCGCACCCCCTGTCGGGGGCTTCTTAAACCGCCCATGATTTGACCACACCAGTGGTGTGGTCTAGACCACGTTTGGTTTTTTTAGTGATGTCCCGTGCGGATGTGCAAGTGGCACCTCGCGAACACGGTAGCACACATGGGGTACCTGGGGGCACATGATGTCCTGGGGCATGTCCTCGCAGAGCTGGCGGAACTGGCGCTCCGTGACCGGCTCCGGCACGCCCACCCACGCGCGGTCGTTGTGGCTTATGTGCTCTAGAGGCGCGTCCGGGGAGTGGACCACGGAGCGGCGCGCGTTGGGCCTGCGTTCGGGCCGTCGGCACTTGTAGCGATGGCTGCGAGGCGTAGGGTAAAAAAAACAACTAGTAGTGGACTGTCAGGGGTTATTCCAGCACGTGGGTACGCCACACTAATTAGTTAATAATTACATATTATCCGAAAGATATCTATGCTTTTCTTTGTGAAAAATACATGTGATAAGCCCCCTAAAACTTTACGAGGTACTTCGATCATATGTAATGTAAGGTACTAACTATTACTTTTGGAAGTTGTTTGACAGGTAACCCAGCCCAGTGGTGGAGTCGCACTTCCCTTTTAGTTCAGGGGAATATCGAACTGTATCTGGATAGTGTATATCCTTTACAATAAGACTCTCTTTACTGTGTGTGTTAGAGGGGAAAAGGGGGAGGGGTCTCGGAGCTTTTCCTTACCACTGTCTCAAGAATTTGACGAAGAGGATGAAGTTAACGATTCCCACCGGAACCGCCAAGAACGTTATATACCTAAGGATATTTTCCTTGTCTGGAATCAGCAAAGGAAATATACTGTTATTTAACAACGAATGTGACGTCATATTGGTTACGATGTGAATTTTGTCACTTGCGTTTATCATGTCACGTTCGTTTGAGTGATGATCCAAGTTAAGAGGAATGCGATATTCTAATTGTGTGAGGTGCGAGTGAAAACATAATCTCCCAAACTATTGGACCAAGGGGTCCAACTTTCGGGCCTACATGAAACTACGAAATCTGAACTAGCACCAGAATCCATCAAGCCGTTTCATAGATACAGATCATTTACATCAAATTTAGACGTTTACGACCGAATAATTCTACGTAACAGATTTTGTCAAAAATGTGTGTCCTTAGGCTTCTTTTCGCTGTGGCAAAAAGCTGCGGAAAATTCTGTAAACAGCTTGTGGTAATTCTCCGTAGCCCCCTTGTCAATATTCTCCGTAGGCTCTTTCAGTATTTTCCGTAGGACCGCACAATATTATCCGTAGGACCTTACAGTGTTCTCGGTAGAACTATACAGTCTTGCAGGTCCTACGGAGAAGGATGTGCGGTCCTACGGAGAATACTGTAACAGCCTACGGAGAATACTGTAACAGCCTACGGAGAATATTGATAAGAGGGCTACGGAGAATCCTGGCAAAAAAATTAACAGAATTTTCCGTACACTGTTAAAAAAAATTACTGAAATTTCATAATTTTTTGTAAGAAGTCGATTTACTTACATTCAGTCTGAATTTTCATACCAAAACTTTCATACTTCGCGGTCTGAAAGTTTCAGACGACGTTAGTCTGAATTTTCAGATCAACATGTTGTATGAAAAATGATACCAGTCGGTCTATTTTATCAGACTAAGTTGTACGAAGACATTGAACAGTCGCACTAAAAAATGCCACTCTGTAGAGTAGAACACAAATCAGCGAACTTTTGCCAACGGTTTATCGTAGACGCTCAGCGGATCGTCTCGGCTCAAAAATTAGGTACAGGACAGTAGACTCCTACTTGCAAAGGTAGTGAAGAGGCTAGAGGTGTCTGCTGAATTGCGAGGGAGAGCGGCCTTAGCCCAACCACGCGCCGACCCGTGGCCATGCGCGAGAGTGAAATTGTATTCTTTGTTAGTTAGCTTATACTGCACTTATTAACCTGAATCTTGCTTTGGTGCGCTCATGCCCTTTCAGACAATCACTTGGAATAAGTTTGTAACAAAATATTCGCAATTTCGCCTTCAAGTGGCAATTTTAGCTCCAAAAGATCGTCCATGCGACACTAGCGCCACCTAGCGGATAGAGCAATAAGTGTCCATTTCGGAGCTCTGAAACATTCTCTATGCTTTTGCGACACTAAACGTAAATATTATTTGAAATACAACAGTAGTATTGATAAAAATTCTGAGAAAATCGAAAAATGTACTAAGGGGACGGGGTTTTTTCATTTGTTTTCCGATTTTACAAGTATGAATTTTGTTTTCGGACGACAATGTACAAAACTTGATAACCATCGCTCTAAATATTCAGACTTGCTAGTCTAAATTCAAATTTCAGACAACAGGTCAAACTTTTCAGACAGTTGGTCTTAATATTCGTACCATTTTATGAATTTACGATTCAGACCACCAAGTAAGACGAAATCAGTCTGAATTTTCATATTTTTTTTAACAGTGTACTCTTTTGCCACAGTGTTCCTTTTCATAAAGTTGCATGGCGCTTCAGTGTTTTTAGAAATCACGAAAAGAAACCAGAAATTGAAACTGTAAAAGAATTCGATGTTTGACCTAATATCGACTGGTAACTGGGACAACTAGAAAAAAAAAAGAGACCAATCGGATTAAAGCTAGCAGAATCCCTTGGGAGAGCCAGGGATCCTTAACTTAACCTAACATTTAACTAACACTGCTTTCTTAACGTAACATAAGACAACGTTCGCTAAAGGTTATAGGGACGGACTTTTGGAAGTACTTCCAAAAGTATCTCTACACAAATTCGAAACACAAAAAAATAACTTAACCTTTTTGAAAAGATGTCAGAAGTTAAGGTTAATAACTTTAACTCTTACGATAACGTTATGATGCCCTTAAGAGGTAAGTTAAGGATCCCTGGGGAGAGCAACACGTTGCCATTCAGACAGAGTTAACGACAACTGTAAGCTAACAGCATTTTTAACCATGTTCGAGGCAGTTATGTGTTTCAATATCCAGTGAAGTTCAACTTAAAAAGAGTCATACTTGCAACTTGACACCATGACTAGCTTAGACCAAATATTCCTTGTTTGCCGTGATTGTAACTCTTTCATTCTCAGTGTTGTACTTTTACTTGTGTTTCGAAATTTTGCTAGCAGTTTTTTCATGCAGCTTTTAGTAGGAATTGTTACAAAACGTTGCCTTATCGTTGCACAACATTAACAGTTTGAATGACGATGTATACTCAAAGTGCTTGGATTCGTCCAAGGGGAAATCACTGAGAATTTCAGTGTACAAATCCAATGAATTTCCGTCGAATTGCGATGAATTTCAGTCAAAAACCTTCTGAATTTTGAGAAGAATTTCAATGAATTTTTATAAATATTGATGAATTCCAATAAATTTTTACATGTTTGATGAATGTCGGTGTACAAATGGAGTTATTTCCCCTTGGATTCGTCACTGGATTCAGGCGGGGATCCGGCGGGGATCCGCCTGAAAGGTAGGCAAAAAGTCGCAGTTTCCCCTGTGGTTCGGCAACTTTCGCGACATCGCCCCCCCCCCCCCTGAACCCGTCCCTGGATCCGCCCTTGCACTGGATTTGACCAAAGATGGTGGCGCGCGCACTTGCCTTCGTCTGCGAGGCCATCGAAGCGTACTGTGACGGCCACCAGGGGCGCCGTGACGATCATGTGGGGCACGGCGATGACCGCCTGGACGAAGACCGTGTACACTTTGCCCGGCGTGAGCGCCCTGTTGCAAAACAGCGCAGCGTAAGTGCTGCTGTCCGTGCTGTTGCAGACGTTGTCGCTGCCGCCGATGATGAACGTCACTTCCGTCGAGTTCGTGCCTGTAGTCGGAAGAAGGCCTAGTCGATTATTGGTTGCAATCGTAATCCGTCGATGAATGAAACAATCTCGATTAGGTAAAATTAGTGGTTCGGTACACTCTACAAAAAATGTCCTGTCAACGCCGTTAATTTATTACCAATGTTTGCTGTTATGCAATTCACGGCGTTCACTGTGATCTTGGTTACAGTGTTCACTGTGATCTGGCCACAGTAAACGCCGTGAATTGGAGCCTGATTTGCAGTACTTCGATGCTTAGCGGCGTCAAACTCACAGTGTTTACTGGGGACCAGATCACAGTGAACACCGCGAACAAGATCACAGTGAATCCCGTGAGCAGATCACAGTAAACGCTGTGAATTGACCTACAGTGAAAACTGGTAATAAATTAACGGCATTTACAGGACATTTTTGGTAGAGTGTAATCGGTTGTTGAAAACGCACACGATTAATCGAAAGACACCGATAATTCAAAAGAAACCGATTGTTGAAAAAAGTTAATTGATCAATCGCGCGGGCCTGGTCGAAAGCATGAGTATGATATGCATGGCTGTCGGGAGCTTAACGACTCGCGGTACTAACACTGGTAAAACTAAAGCGTAGTATTAGTACTACCCTCTGTTTTCAAGCGTAATCAGTTTACGCTTGAAATCAAGCGTAATGGGTAATGGGTCCATCCGCCAAGTTTCCCTCTATCTAAATGTATGGGGGGAATTTCCAGTCTATGCTTTATGTCAAGCATATTGTCTTGAAGCGTTATGCTTGACTCAAGCATTGAGTTACGCTTTAGTTTGCCAGAGTACACACCTGTAGATAAATGCTCTCGTGCATGCATCTGTAAGTGTGAACTTGTAAGTGTTGGTCCAGCGAATGTTCCTCCCCCAAATCCAAAGGCGATACTTTTTGTGTGGCCTTCGCAGCGGAGACACCCATTCGCTGTTGTTGGAGCACTTATGAGGCTAAGGCACACCGATTTTGAGACTTCCTTTTCGCAGAATAAGGGACCATTCGCCTTTGCAAAACACAAACCAGACAACGTATTTCGCACAGGGCCGGCCTGCGTCTCAATGAGCCAAGAGGACACCATACATGCAAACTCAACAGTGTGCTCTCCGGTACAAACGGTACCTGGTTTTCCCAGGAAGCCTGTGGTAGAGACATATATGAGTTCCTGGGAAAACCAGGAACCGTTTTCACCGTGCTGGCATGGTCCCGGAAGTCTTTGAGTGCCGGTGTAGCTAGACCAAATAAAGTGTACCTTTGAATGGATTCCACCGCGCGTCTGTCGCCAGGAAGGGGCGCTCAAGGGTGGTGACGACGCCCTTGATCATGGTCCTGTCAAGGGGCAGCTCTCGGACGTTGCAGGTCCTGCTCAAGTCACTCTGCCCCTCCATGACGACGATGCGGTAGAAGTCGGGCCTCTTCCACGACCACCGGAACAGGGTGCTCGAGAAGGTCACTGCCACCTGCCCGAAGCCCCCCGGAACGCAGGATGCGGAAACTCCGCTGTCAGTCGCATTCAGGTCTGCAAGAAAATTACACACTTCCAATCCTGCAGATTACTATTCCCAAACAGTACGTTGAAACGGGCAGGATAACATGTCATGCCCTCCTTTGAGCATTGTGTCATGCTCGTTGGAATGTGAACAAGCTACTTAAGGGGGCACACCAGTGAAAATGTAGAGGTTTTGAAAAACGATCATTCTGAGAAAAGTAACCTACGTATTCGATTGATATTTTATTCGTGGCTCAAAATCATATCAAAGAAAAGAAAAATCAGTATGGGAGGGTGGGGTGGCGATGGCAAGACGGAGCGCCAGTGCACTTCATTTTTCTGCGACCTCGTCTCACTCCTGCCACGATTCCGCCTCTCTGGATTGAGCCTCGAGCACGGGATTTGAAAATTTCTCAACAGGACACATGTGGCTATGGTCTGAACCACGGGCATGCAAAAAGAATGATTTTGAATTGTTTTTCAAAAGGCAAAAATAAAAAAATTTTTTTTAAACCCAAAAATTTTTGCGCTTTCATGGCTGCAGCTCACGTCCTATTTATGGGATGGTCATTTCCGAGGTTCAGACCATAGACGCAAGTTTAACAAACATTTTGCCGCAAACCGCATTAATTTATCTCTATTTTTGCGCCCGTGAGAGTGGCACAAAGGTACAAAAAAGGTTTTTTTGAGAAAAAGCCCTTTTAGTAGAAGCATAGATTTGACGTGTTTTTTTCGGTTTATAAATGCCCCTTTTAAGTTCGTTTTGCGCCAAAATGACCCTCTTTTTAACTGCGTTTGGGTGGTTCAAGGGTTTTGTAATTAAACTTTAAGTGAAAAACCTGAACGTTCACAATTGGTCTAAAATATCCAATAACCCTTTTAGCAACTTCAAAACTGTGCACAAGCCAAAGTAATTGGTATTTTGGGGTGGGGTTTGCGGCATTCGACTCGGGATGAATAGCAGAAAAATAAGATAAAATAAAAAAGAAGGCAAAAATTTGACGATTTTCACTGGTGTGCCCCCTTAATGGCTGACTCACGTCCAGACGAGCGTGACGCAATGCTCTGAAGAGAATGACATTTTGTCACGCTCGCACGCCCGTTAACGCTAGGTTAGGTTATTAGAGAGCAGCAACTGGTGTAGAACACGAAGAGCTGCTGGCTCAACGTCTAAAATTGGAAAGCCAATCCCTTTGACTAAAAGTCTTGCGACGGTTTGGTCTGACAGGAAAGTCTAGCCAAGATTGACTTATGTCTCATCACAAAAGGATCACACTGTTAAAAATTTTTGCTGAAAATTCAGACTTTTTTGACTGAAGTAAATATGCAGAACATCCTACTGAAAATTCAGACTAAATCCTGGTCTGAAATTTTCAGACTTACACAAGTCTTAACCTTTCAGGCAGGTCGTAGTCTGAAAAATTCAGACAAAATGTCTCAATTATTAGATTTTTTTGTCTGAAAGTGGAAGCAGGAAATTTTCCCGTAACTCGGTGAAATGATAATGTTTGCATCCGAACCTCAAAGGAGAGACGTATTGCAAGGGACCGTCTAGGCAAAAAATTGAGTGTAGGGAAATGTCCCCGAAGCTGGACTCTTCCCTGCACTCATGTGGAGCTGGCCTGACGCACCCAAGGAAACGACGGCACGGAGCCAACCACGAGAGGTAACTTCAAATGTCAATTGTTAAACTCGCGCGTTTGCTACAGATATACATTTGGTATGGGAGCGTGTGTTTCGTCATAGCCAATAGGGTGATAGCCATTTCGGGTTAAAAATATGAAAAATTTAACAGAAAAAACACGTTTTTAACAACAGCAGGCTCTTTACCGACACTGGCGCCACCTGGCGGAGAGAAAAATGCTTTCGTTTTGTCTGAAGTCCCCGAAACGGAGTCGGATTAAATTGAATGCAAGACTGATTGTGAGTTAACCCAATGTTAGGTTGCAAGAAAGCTGTCCAATTTTCTCTTATGTTTGAACATATTTCAGAAAGTAGTCTGAATCCGAAATTCAGACTCTTGAGGTCTGAGAAGTCTGACGCAAGTTCATATGAATTTTGAGAATGAGTACAAATATTAAGACACTTCGAGTCTGAACCAAGCTTTCAGACAAAGCGTTTAAGAACTAAGACAAAAACTCTGATTTTTCAGAATTAAGTCTGTTTTACAGATTCAGACCGCTAAGTCTGACAAAATTGGTCTGAATTTTCAGAATTTTTTTAACAGTGCAGATTTTGACGCCTCCTGATGAGAAAAGGCCGGAAATGGCCGCTTTTTACGTCGTGCAGTTAGGATGTTTCTGAATCGAGACTGGCAGTTAGGATTGTCTTGGATTTACTCGAGCAGTTAGGATTGTCTTATTAAGAGGACCAACTTTTTCCCCTGACCATTTTGCGGCGAGACATTTAGGTCTTACTTTATTTTAGTGAGCCTTTCTAGTCTGACCAAGACCTGGTCAGACATTTTGTGTCACTTTTGGAGAGGCGAGATGTCCGACCATTGGATATGAAGGGTCCCTCAACAGAAGTGACGACACATTCGCGGAATATCAGATTGCACCAACTTGCCAAGACTTACCTAAAGACGGTGCCATGTAGCTGATGCTGCTTGCAGTGCTCTTCTGGGCCTTGTTCGTCACCGTGACGGTCACTTCCAGCGTCGTGTTTCGCGCGCTGCACCAGTCGAAGCGCGTGTCGTTGATGGGGATCTTGAAGCAGCCGTCCTGGCACATGTACTGGAACGGAATGCAATGGCTGGTGAATCGTTCAATCAGAGCGGAACACCAGATCACCTCATCTTAGGATGAGGGCTGGTTAACTCCAGAACTGCAAAACTTTGTTGACATATTTAAAAAATTCCAATGCTAATCGCATTGCACGGTGTTCCCGTTTCCATAACTGGTTGAAAATCGAGGAAAACATGACAAGACAACCGCAGCCTTTGAGAGCATGCCAAACAATCCAACCTCAGCAACAATGGCGGGGCAGTTTCAATGGGCGCCTGTTCGTTCTTTCAGCCTCGCGATTTTCGAAAGGGCGCAGACGGGAAGCTCTCATAACTTGGCCAACCCACATTACCAGAGAAGGTTCAAAATACAACAAATCGACGCAGAATGATTTGTTCCAAAATGTTCCACAATTGTTCCAATTTGTTCCTCAACGAGGGCGGCTCCAGGCTCGTTATCGTTTTTCGATAACAAGCTGGCCAGCTTCAAACCAGTAAAAATGCACAAATCGACCCGGAAAAAGTGCAGTTCTTCTTAAAAACGTTTGTTCCAAAATGTTCCACCATCGTTTCACGGCCACCGATAACTCAAATGCGTTTTTCGAAAAACAGTTGTTTGTGGGTTGGCGAACTTCCAAAACACAAACCTGCGTAAACAGGAGTGAAAATGATGCTGATCGCCTCAGAATCGTTTGTTCCGAAATGTTCCACCATCGTTTCACGGCCACCGATAACACAATTGCGTTTTTCGAAAAACAGTTGTTTTGTTGGGTTGGCGAACTTCGTAAATACAAATCTGCGCAAAAAGAGTTGGAAACAACGCGTTTCGCCTCAGAATCGTTTGTTCCAAAATGTTCCACCATCGTTTCACGGCCACCGATAAATGTAATGTGTTTTTCGAAAAACGGTTGTTTCGTTGGGTGGGCGAACTTCGTAAATACAAATCTGCGCAAAAGAAGTTGGAAACAACGCGCTTCGCCTCAGAATCGTTTGTTCCAAAATGTTCCACCATCGTTTCAAAGCCAACGATAACTCAAATGCGTTTTTCGAAAAACGGTTGTTTTGTTGGGTTGGCGAACTTCGAAAATACAAATCTGCGCAAAAAGAGTTGATAATAACGCGGTTCACCTAAGAAACGTTTGTTCCGAAATGTTCCACCGTCGTTCCACGGCCACCGATAACACAATTGCGTTTTTCGAAAAACAGTTGTTTTGTTGGGTTGGCGAACTTCTAAAACAGAAACCCGCGTAAAAAGGGGTGAAAATAATGCATATGGCCTCAGAATCGTTTGTTCCGAAATGTTCCACCATCGTTTCACGGCCACCGATAACTCAAATGTGATTTTCGAAAAACGGTTGTTTTGTTGGGTTGGCGAACTTCAAATATACAAATCTGCGCAAAAAAAAAGTTAGAAAACAACGCGGTTCGCCTCAGAATCGTTTGTTCCAAAATGTTCCACCATCGTTTCAAGGCCACCGATAACACAATTGCGTTTTTGGAAAAACAGTTGTTTCGTTGGGTTGGCTAACTTCCAAAATACAAACCCGCGTAAAATGGGGTGAAAATAATGCTTATGGCCTCAGGATAGTTTGTTCCAAAATGTTCCACCATCGTTTCAAGGCCACCGATAACACAATTGCGTTTTTGGAAAAACAGTTGTTTCGTTGGGTTGGCTAACTTCCAAAATACAAACCCGCGTAAAATGGGGTGAAAATAATGCTTATGGCCTCAGGATAGTTTGTTCCAAAATGTTCCAACATCGTGTTAAGGCCACCGATAAATGTAATGTGTTTTTCGAAAAACGGTTGTTTTGTTGGGTTGGCGAACTTCGTAAATACAAATCTGCGCAAAAAGAGTTAGAAATAACGCGGTTCACCTAAGAAACGTTTGTTCCGAAATGTTCCACCGTCGTTTCACGGCCACCGATAACACAAATGCGTTTTCCGAAAAACGGTTTGGTTGGGTTGGCGAACTTCCAAAACACAAACCCACGTGAAAAAAAAGGTGAAAATGATGCTAAGGGCCTCACAATCGTTTGTTCCAAAATGTTCCAACATCGTTTCAAGGCCACCGATAACACAAATGCGCTTTGCGAAAAACGGTTGTTTGGTTGGGTTGGCGAACTTCGCAAATACAAATCTGCGCAAAAAGAGTTGGAAACAACGCGGTTCACCTAAGAAACGTTTGTTCCGAAATGTTCCACCGTCGTTTTACGGCCACCGATAAATGAAAAGCGTTTTTCGAAAAACGGTTGTTTTGATGGGTTGGCGAACTTCGAAAATACAAATCTGCGCAAAAAGAGTTGGAAACAACGCAGTTTGCCTTAGATACGTTTGTTCCGAAATGTTCCACCATCGTTTCAAGGCCACCGATAACACAATTGCGTTTTCCGAAAAACGTTTGTTTTGTTGGGTTGGCGAACTTCTAAAATACAAACCCGCGTATAAAGGGGTGAAAATAATGCTTATGGCCTCAGGATCGTTTGTTCCAAAATGTTCCAACATCGTTTCAAGGCCACCGATAACACAAATGCGTTTTCCGAAAAACGTTTGTTTTGTTGGGTTGGCGAACTTCCAAATAACAAACCTGCGTAAACAGGGGTGAAAATGATGCTTATGGCCTCAGAATCGTTTGTTCCGAAATGTTCCACTATCGTTTCAAGGCCACCGATAACACAATTGCGTTTTTCGAAAAACGGTTGTTAGGTTGGGTTGGCGAACTTTCAAAATACAAACCCGCGTAAAATGGGGTGAAAATAATGCTTATGGCCTCAGGATCGTTTGTTCCAAAATGTTCCACTATCGTTCCAAGGCCACCGATAACACAATTGTGTTTTTCGAAAAACGGTTGTTATGTTGGGTTGGCGAACTTCCAAAATACAATTCCGCGCAAAGAGAGTTGGGAACAACGCGGTTCGCCTAAGAAACGTTTGTTCCAAAATGTTCCACCAACGTTTCACGGCCACCGATAACACAATTGCGTTTTTCGAAAAACGGTTTTTTTGTTGGGTTGGCGAACTTCTTAAAAACAAACCCGCGTAAAAAAGTTGAAAATAATGCAAATGGCCTCAGAATCGTTTGTTCCAAAATATTCCACCAACGTTTTGCGGCTGCTGACTTTTAAAGGCCTTCTCCGAGGTAAGCCTTAAAATCATGCGTTGGAGGACTTGCCACTACAAAATTTCTAAGAGAAGGGTTTAATGCGGTGCTGTTCTCTTTAGTGTTTTATGTTCTTAGAGGACCTTCTATAGTATGACGGCTTGCAGAATTCCAAGCCGTCCAGAATTTAAGGGCAGTAAGTATGAACTTAGGAGTTGCCTGTTTAATTCCCTAATAAATTGACTTTTATGAGCTGCAGGCTGCCTTAGATACATGGTCCTAAAATGTTCCATTTTTGTTTTGCAGATTTTACCTAGGAAAAGGAGTTTAACAGAACACCTTGTAAGTATAGGTTGGCGGATTTTTCGGTACAAAATCCTAACATTGTTACTTCAAATTGGTGCAGGTCACCTTGGATACGTTTGTTCCACCAACGTTTTGCGGCTGCTTCCTTTGCAAGGCCTTTTTCGAGGAAAGCCTTATAATTATGTGCTGGCGGACTTGTCACTGCAAAATCCTGGAAAAGTGAATTGAAAATAGTGCTTGTCGCCTGAGAGACGTTCGCTTGAAAATATTTCATCATTGTGTACCACTTTTTTACCCAAGTGTGATACATACATTATGGAATCACGCTTTAATATCTGACTTGTAATCACATCCGATCGTAAAAAATCAGAAATGTGTTGCTTAGAATTACCAATTGTTTACTTCTGTTACAGTTGCGGTGTAATAAGAGTAGGAAACTGTCAAACATTTTTAACATGCAAACGCGATAAAAGTAACTGTAGGAGCTCTTTATTATTGTGATTAAGCTACGAATCATTTCACCCTGTTAATTATAGGACTACTGTTATAGTGTAGCAGTGTAAGGGACTTGGAGGGAAAAGGGAAGTCAGGGGTCTCGTCGAGACGGAAGGCTCTGTATTATCAGTAGGTGGCCGTGTACAGAATGGTAGCGGACGTCTGGCGACGCGCTCTTATATTACAGATGCAGAAGAACACAAGGAAGAACAGTAGCGGAGAGTGGGGGTGCATGGCCAATGGTATTGAGCGGCCAGGGTATTAAGGGGAAGAACAAAAGGAAGAAAGGGTTGGAGGTCCTGGCCAGGATCAATAGGGCAGTGGTTGAAAACAAGGGGAATGACTGCAAGTAAGCCGTGTCTAGGTTATGTTCTCCATTGTTTCATATCATAACACCACTCCCTCCTGAACAAAAGAAACGAAGTTTCTTCAAAATTTTCCTCGTACCCTTCTTTTAGATCCTTCGAACTATTTAGCACTGACTTCAAATTTTGATGCACTGGTTTGAAACTTTTAAAACTGTCTTCCCACTCTCTCACTTAATTTAACAAATTTTACAAGTCTGATTAAATGTCCAATTTGATATTTTCTTGAACCTCCTTTCTTGAGTTTGGCGGTGACTGCTCGCTGTCTTGAAGTGATGCTACAAAGGCTCGCTCCCCCCTTACACCTTCTGGGT